CCCTGAACTTGTTGTTGAGGTCATTGTAACTGACATCGATCTTGGCATGGAGGTTCTTGAGCTCATATCCAACATGTTTCTCACTTCTTGTCTGAGACTCCAGAATCTGTTTCAGTAGGGCATCGGTGCTGGTTTCTTGAGGAGTAGACGTAGAAGGGTTAGACTGCTGTGGCTGTTGGGTAGGCTGGTTCCCTTTGTTAGTGAAACCTGGAGGTGGATTCTGCTGTGGCTGGTAACTCCCTTGCTGGTTGTTCCTTTGTTGGTAACCTCCTTGTGGGTAGTTGTTGTAACGGAAGTTTGGTTCTTTCTTGTACCAACTACCATTGTTGTTGATGAAACACAACTCCTCTTGGCCTTCTATTCCATCAACCTCATTTGTCACAGGTTGTGCTTCATTGCTGGAGTTGCCAACAAAGTGCAGCTGCTCTTGAGTAGCTTTCTCTGCAATGAGGATGTCAATCTTGTCCTGTAGAGCCTTAAGTTCCTTTCTGGTCTGCTTATCATCTCCCCTACTACCTCTGTCATGATCACCGCTGTAGACCGCGTCACTCTTTACCATGTTGTCTACCAGCTCCTCTGCGTCCTCTTCAGACCTTCCCAAGAAGAACCCATTGCTGGCTGTATCTAATCGTGCTCTATACTTAGGTAAAGCACCTCTGTAAAAAGTACTGAGCAAGCTCTCCTTGGAGAACCCATGGTGTGGGCATTGTGCCTGATAGCTCTTGAATCTCTCCCATGCTTCGCTGAATCCTTCCAAGTTCTTTTGCTGGAAGCTGGAGATCTCATTTCTTAACTTGGCAGTTCTTGAGCTAGAGAAGAATTTCTCCAAGAAGGCTCTCTTGCACTCATCCCAGGTAGTGATAGATTCACTAGGTAGGGACTTCTCCCATTGACGTGCTTTGTCCCCCAGAGAGAAAGGGAATAGCTTCAGTTTGAATGCATCCTCGGACACACCATTAGTCTTTGACAAGCCATAGTAGCTGTCAAACTTGTCCAAGTGATCAAATGGGTCTTCAACAGGTAACCCATGGTATTTGTTGTTTTCGATCACGTTGAGGAGTCCTGGTTTCACCTCAAAGTTGTTTGCTTCCACAGCTGGCGCACGGATTCCCAACCTATTGCCATGAAGGTTCGGACGGTCGTAAGTGCCGATAGGGCGGGCTGGGCGTGGTGGGTGAACTTGGTTTTGCCCATTGGCGTCTCCCATCTCAGTATCCAACGTCTGCTGTTGTGCAAGTTGCGCTGCTTGTTTTCTCTGCCTTGATATCTCTCTTTCGAAAGCCCGGATGTCTGGAACTCTTGGAACAAGGTTTGTTGAGCCTTTGCTCCTCAAGTTCATACACCTGAAATCCAAAAAGAGTTGAAGGTAGAGAATCAGTAACAAAAGAAAATAAAAATGACTTAGTCTCAAGCAAGTGACTAAATCTCAATGTTTCAATGAACTCAGAATTTGGCAACGGCGCCAATTTGATGTTAGGAGTTTCAAGGCTCCTAAGACAAATGATGTAGTATAAAAG